AATTATGTTATCGCGAAGCATGTCCCCAACTGCCTCTTTGATTTGGGCGCGTTCGGGTGCGCCCACTCGGTACGCAGGGAGTTTGATGGGTCGGGCTGCACCGGTGTCAATTTGATGCTTAACAAGGTCGGTCCGACCCACGTCTGAGTCGTGTTCGCTGAACACGTCGGCATACTCCCGCAGTAACTCGCGCAGCCGATCGGCCTCTCCCTTAGGTAAGTCCGCCCATGGTACATGTAACGCGTCGAGCAGGGGAACGACCTCGGCTCGGGGAGTCGGGCCGACTCGCCAGGCCAGGTCCTGCTCACCCTCAGGACGACCGGGGTCCTCAGCCCAGAGTGCGAACACCGAGTCGTTAGAGTGGCGTGCGTGCAGGGGGTGTACTGTGGCTATCGGGGTGCGCCGTCGCAGTATCGCGGGGGTATTGTGGGGGTTAAACATCCGCATAAACAATCGGTCCCCATCTGCGTTTACCAACGTGGCGGATCCCACAACCCCATACCGTTTTGCCAACTCCGGGTGAGGAGTTAGCATTACCTCCCCTGATGGTCGGAGCGCGGGGTCGGTGGGGGATGTTGCCACCGGCACCAGCATCTCGGTGAGCGGGCCGATGGTGACTGCCGTCGCCAGGATAGCGACCACAGGTGCAAAGCGGCGGCGCGTTGGTTCTCGTCCCAGGAACGGTATCCGCTCGCCGTTGCTCTCCATGGTGGCGCATCGCTGGCGGGGTTGCACGTTGAGTCCCAACCGTTCTAGGAGGTCGGTGCCTGCGATACACTCGTGACACAACGCACTCGACACGTAGAACTCCTGCGTGCACACCTGGCTGCCTTTGCGGACCTCTAGGGTGGCTTTCCCCAGCAGCCCCATTCCGGCTCCGCTCGCAGTGTGCAGCGCGCGGTCCGGGGCCTGCAGGTGACGCACGTCGACCCCGATCGCGCTGCAGTGCGCTGCGCTCACGAGCGAGGCCACCGCCCCCGTGTCCAGCAGGATTCGGGTACGCACTCCGTTAACCTCCCCTTCCACCAGCGACGTGGCCCCCGTGATCCCCGCCACCAGCTCCCGTAGCCAGTCGCCAGGAGTCACCGTTTCTGTGGGCGTTGTTGCTGGAACCTGTGTGGAGATCACTCGCTCGCCATTATTCTCACAGCTTGTTTGTGTCGGGGCTACGTCGATTTCACCCCCCGGTGGTCCCCTCTCTAGGGGGGCCTTAGTGTTTGACCTTAGCTCTTGTCTAGCTCGGGCGACCTGAGGGCAGTCCCTCCTGAGATGCCCTCGCCGATCGCACACATAACACGCCCGGGGAGGGGTGGCGGCTCCGTAGCGGGCTCTCTGCCCACTCCCTCCTCCCCCAGTGCGCTGCTGCTCATATTCTGCTTCTAGAAGCGCTATCCTTCCAGTTAGCCCTCCTACCGTGGAGTCTAGTTCCCCCATCTCGGATCGGATGGTCTCAACGGAGGATTGCAGCTTGGTCATATTCTCACCTACGTGGGTTACCCTTTCACCTACTTGGGTTATCATATCTCCCATGCCGGCCTGTAACCCGGCTACCCACCCCGGGGTCGTCTCGCTGGGTCTCTGGGGCTCCCTTGCCCGTCCCCTTACTGCGATGGCGGGCTCTTCCTCCTCGTCGGAGAGTAGGCTTGCTACGGCGCACTCTCGTCCCCTCCCTCGAGGCTGCGCGCGCTCACCAGAGAGCTTCTCGCATTTGCGCGCGCGCTCGACAAGTGTGTTAAAGGAGAGGCGTGCACCGTCTATATTTGGCTGCCACCACGGGGTGCGTGCCAAATATCGCTGGACCTTCCCGGCGGCGAGGCTCTCAATTACTTTCGCCTCGTGCTCCGGGTACGCGAGCTGGGTCAACATGCGTACGTCCTCGGCGTAATCTCGCAGATCCTCGCCGGGCTGACGGCGGCGTGCCTCTAAGGCCGACTGCGCCTCCTCCTCGTCATAGGCGCCGAAGCGCCGTTCGAGTTCGCACATTAATTTTTCCCACTGAGTTTGTGCGCTTGCGGGCAAAGCTTCCACAAAGTCGGCTGCCCGTCCATCTAAATGTATCTCTAACTGCTGCAACGCCTCCTCATCCGACCACCCATTAACCTTTTTAGCCCCCCTGATGCTGCGGGCAAACGATTTCCATGATGGAATTCCTTTGCCCGTAAATGTGCATTTGATTTTAACCTGGGTTGGGGGGCCTCTTTCCCTTGGGGGTGCGGGGGATCGTCCCGTTTCTGACACCAATATGTGGGGGCCGCTGGCCCCCGGGGTCCCTCCCGCCTGCATCCCCTATTCCGTTTAGGTTACCCCACCTCCCTATTACCCGCTACGGTTTCACCGGCATTCGAACGCGACGCCCCCACTGTTACAGTCTCGCGCCGCGCTCCCACGCTGCGAGCATACACGCGCACAGCATCATCAATCAAACGCCACACTCCCCCTCTTTACACCGCTACGTACAGCTCTCGTATACTGCGAGCGTGTGCCCGCCTATAGCCCTGTGCGGCACGTTACCAATGCGCATCCGTATCCGACACGTAACGAACGTATGAGCACTCCCACACACACGCCGCTCCGCGCACTCCAACTCCACTCACGTTATGATCGCGCACCTGTATCGCACCCGGGGTGGACGCACGCACACACACGCAGCTCCCCACGCGACACTCTGCACGACAAGATCACGCGAGACCACGCTTCGCTATTAATGATTTATTATATGCTACCTGCGAATTGATGTCAAATCAGTGAGTCGACGAGGCTGGCCTACGCTGATACCTCTATACCTATTCCCGATTTATCTGCTACGATACCCTACTTTACCTCCCCACTCACTGTTTGGTGCCCGCGGAGGTTCGCTGCTCTCTGCGCTAACAGCGTACCTCGATGCGTCGCACGGACGTCCGGGTCGCTGGCTGGAACTCCTGCTGGTCCGCTGGCCTGGAGAGAAGGGGCGATTTCCCCTCTCCGCTCCTCTATTTATCCTCCCTACCTCAAAGGGGATGCTGCGCTGAACAATGGGCTCGTGCACCCCAAGCCCGTGCACGGCGGTTCCCCGGGCGCTGTTGATATGCTAATCAGTGAGCGACGTTGGCGGCGTACATCCTAATTACTCCCTTACCCTTCCTAACAATGGGGCCTGCGCGCTCCAGCGCAATTATCCCAACCCCCCATGACTATGCGCAACAGCCCCTGTGACCCCGCTATTCATGCTGTCCCGTGCCTCCCCTGCTTGCCCCGTCGACCCGTGGGAGTGTGTGTGGGGGGAAAATGCGCCTCAACCGCGGTGGCCGAATGCCCCACGCCGCGACCACACCATATTAAGGCCGGCCGCGGCGCCGCGGTGCCACGTAGCACGGGGGGGTCATCCAATTCCCTGATCGCCGGAAACCGTGAGAATTAATCCCGATAAGGGTCTCTCGGATAAAAACCGGTCGATCAGGTGACCTTCCCTTCCAGCTCTATGGGGGGGGGAAATGCGTGCGGGTGATGGGGGGCAGTGCGGTGGGGGAAGCCGGGCGGCTCCCTGGTTCGGCAGAGCGGCCCCGTCGTTGTGGCACCACACATTAACGACAGACATGCCTGGGTGATTATAGTAGGTACTGTATAAAGGTTTTTGGGTGAGATCTATTCTCAATTATGTTGTCAACCTCGCGCCTAATAATCTCTGCCTCATTTTGTGGAAGGTGTCGTACCGCTGATTCCACCTCAGCAATTATCTCATCTACTGGAATTGTACGTGGGGCAACTGCAAAGTTAAGACCTTTAAAGAGGACCAATAGCATGTCGCTGGTTAAATAAGTGTTAGTTAAGTTAATTAGAGTTTTATTTTAAATTGTTCGTTATTAGTTGGGAATTTATATGAAGGACACTCAATTGATTTTGATAACGTTGAAGTGTTGTATAAAACTAATGAAGTATTACTGGCCGAGACTATTTCGGGAATTCATTGAAATTGAGAGAAATACAAAATTTTTTACCACTCTGACAGCTTTCGGCTTAGTGCGGCCTGGAAGCGTATTATGAAGTAATACACCTTATAACTGCATTCCTTATAGAGGAAACACATGCTAATTCACTGATTACTAATCCATTATATAATTGCAATACTCCCCATCCCTCATATTCTTGGGTCTTTCGGTAAAGTCACGTAGATAGGTTCAAAGAAAATAATAAAAAATAACAGAACTACGTTTCGATCGCAACACAAGCAGTCGTCTTCAGGAAAGGGGGGGTTAGCTTCCAAGGGAAACTGTTTGTAAGGGTTTGAAATGGGCGTAGCCCGAATGTCAGCAGCCAATGATAATGTACGTTTTCGGTGGTTCGTTTTCCACCAATCAAAGGGCTGCCAGGTGAAAATGAGCATGTTAAAGAGAGATTAGCATGTTAATGGCAGATTGCAGAGCCGCGACCAAGGGGTTCGCGCGCGAAGGTGGTAGGATGGGAACATCATAGCCCATTATGACTTAAACTGGTTGATAAGGTCCTTCCAATGATTTCTCAGTTTGTACCCATCTTCTTGGTTGAAATTGTGTCTGTGTCTATATATATGGCTTCATGAACCCCCCCTCCCTTGGCCTCTGATCTCTAAACATGATATTGCTCTTTTTAAGACTGGAAGCAGGTGGATTGTTTCACTATTCCGGTAAATCGCCCGATGATGCTGGATGTAATTACCAGCGAAACGTCGTATTCAAATTGTATATGTTGTGTATTTACTCTCCAACACACCGGTGGGCTGAAGTAGTAACTAATTGGCGCGTTGTTTATGTGACAAACCTTACTGGCTGTGTCGAGTGGTGGAGGGTTACGACACATTTATACTTACGCGATCTAACCCAAAAACCTTTATTATGAAGTCTTCACTTGTTTAACTATCCACTCTCTTCCTCCCTTTCTCCTATCATCCCCTCACCAATTCCTCTCACCTTTTCTCCACCACCACATGTCCTCTCCACCTCCTCTCTCCCCTCCACCTCTTCTCTCCCCTCACAATGTCTCAGCTGTGCGACTTCCTGAAGGACTTCCTGGACGAGCAGGTGGAGTCTATCAAGAAGTTGGGTGACCACGTCACCAATCTGAAGCGCCTGGGCGTTCCTCAGTCTGGCTTGGGCGAGTACCTCTTTGGGAGACTCACTCTGGGAGACTGCAGCTAGGTGCTCTCCCACTCTCACACCCCCCCCCCCACTAAACCATTCATTCATAAACACACTCGCTCACTCACCCTCGCATACGACACTCATTCATTCTAGATTTGAAGCTTTCGTGACTGCAAGGATTCATACTCTTAGGTTTTTTCGGTAAAGTCACGTTGGTAAAAAAATAAAAATAAATGAAAATAACTAAATTAAATCACGTTTCGGAAGCAACACAAGCCTTCATCATCAGGTGTAACTGCTCCAGTAAAAATTCCACGCTACAGTAATTTTACTGGAGCAGTTACACCTGATGACGGAGGCTTGTGTTGCTTCCGAAACGTCGTGATTTAATTTAGTTATTTTAATTTATTATTTTTTACCTACGTTACTTTACCGAAAAAACCTAAGAGTATGACACTCATTCATTTACCTACACACTCCGCCCACCCACTCGTACACACACACACAAGCGCTCGCCCACCTGCTCACTCACACCGAGCCGTGTCTCTCTCAATCTGTAGTTGCTTCATGAGGACAGCCGGTGTGTGATGGTGATAAGTCCTCCTATTACTGCTGACACTTGCAAACGATAATAGCCTATACTGCTTTGAAGATATGGTACCCTTGGTTGATAGAATTGGTGATGGTTGAGTTAATGGTGGTTGAAGTGGTTGTGAGCATGGTTGAGGATGTGTGGTGCTTGTTGACAGTCAAGTTGTGGTTGATCTCATGGTGGTAGTGGAGATGGTTGAGGTGGTTTCTTGGCCTCTTCTCTAATCCTCTGGCTTCACCGATATTACAAATCGGACCTCCTAGTGAGAAAATAAAGATTCTACAAGCATCAGTCCTGTTTGTGGTGTGATTATTTTATTGATCCAAGGGATTTTGATTGTCGTGCAGTCACTCCTATTGTCGCCAGCCACCACTGCCTACTGCTTTGCATGCACACTCCCCGCCCCAATGCCAAACCCCATGTCTAGAGGAAAGGGGTGGTGCCTAAACAGGAAAAGGCGCAGAATTAAAGGACTGGAACCTGCTCAGGAAGAGACGGGGTCTCAGGAGCAGGGACCTAAAGTGGAAGGCGGTGGGGCCTGCCAAGGTAATACATTGCTGTTGATTTAAGGCAATGAAGGCAGATAATCAAGTGTGGGCAGTCCTACATTTGGTACTGCAAATGTAGCCACAGGCCAACTGTTGCGGACAAGTTTAAAGTTGCTCGGAGGCCAGGGATAATGCTGAGATCCTGGGTTCAAGCCATAGGTCTGGACATCTTTAATTGTTTTCATAATAGCCGTGTCAGAGACACTGAGCTGGAACTTGAGATTGTGGGTTTTAGCTGTGTTATTCAAATGGTTCTGTAAAAACCGATAGGCTCGCAGAGACCCATAGACTCGACTTGAGGGCAATAACCTTTTAATCAATGTGACTTTTCTTTCATATGACTGATGTAGATGCAGAGCAACTACAATTTCACATTCAGATAGTCAAGCCAGATAACCGCGTTAGGAGCAGCAGACTGCATCGCTGTGGTGCCTTATTTGTGAATCGGGCATTGCGCCGTTATATGTTGTATCGCCTGTTCTGGATGACCACGGTTGCACACTGGGATCATTTTCTATTTGTGCATCAGGTATCCGCATCTGCCATGTTACACCGCGCCTATTACCTCCTTGATAGTTCAAATCAAATCGTGTCACCCATGTTGTGGTCATTTCACAATTTTCAAACTATTGGAAAGAAAACTATTTAAATAAAATACATTTTATCAGGCGGATCTGGGACTCTTTAGTCTACACCTGTGACCGTGTTGAATATGTAATTTGTGACAGTCTGTCTCCACGGAACGTGCTGTGAAAGGGCCATTTATCAAAACGTCACTGGTTGTATATTTCCTTTGATGGCAGTGTTGTTGACGAACGTGTTGAGTATTTTATATTGCTCGATGTATCATTACGCCAATAGTAGTGAATTAAATATGCATGTCTACAAATATTAACTTCAAAAATAAGACGCACGAGTCTCCGAATACATACACAACAATATATTTAAAACAAGAGAATTGCACCAGCACACGGTAATGAGTTTTAATTAACACATCTGATGAGGCTGGTTGTAATTACCAGCAAAACGTACTCGAATTGTAAATGTTGTGGCTTTACTTTCCAACACACCGGTGTGCTGAACTAGTAACAAATTGGCAGGTTTTGTTTACGTGACAAACCTTACTAATTGGCTGTCGGGTAGTGGCGGGTTTAATGACAGTTATATCTACGCCATTCAACCCAAAAAAACCTCTAATGGTAATGTGTGCCGCTCACAGTGTGGGGGGGGGGAGGGGGGGTGGCATCACCCGCCAGCCTCCAGGTACGCGACTGTGCTGGTGGCGGGGGTTCACATCTGCACGTAACGCGGCGTGGTGTCCACGTATTTCCCGTCGGGCGCCATGTACGCGGGGATGGCGGGGGTGTACGTGGGCCCATCTCGGTGCAGGGGGAAGAGCGCAGGGTCACGCGCCACCGCTGCTTCGTAGAGCCGCGGCGACTCGAGCTGCAGCTCGAGCAGCGCGCGCCGCTGACTCTCGCGCACGCGCGCTATCTGTGCCATCTCGGCGCGGTGCTGCGCCGCTTTGTAGCGCGACCACGCCTTCCCCAGCAGCGCCCGGCGCTCCGTCTCCTCGGGACTCAGGCTCGGATTCTCTCGCCGCCTGCAGCGCGCACACCGATTCGCCTTTAGCGCTCACCACACACCGCTGACCATTCGCGCTGTCACCACACACCACTCTCCGTTAGCACTCGCCACATATCGCCTACCATTCGCACTCACCACACAGCTCACCATTAGCACTCACTACCGCTCGCCACACACCACTCTCCGTTAGCACTCACCACATACCGCTCACCATGAGCACTCACCACCACTTACCACACTGATTACCATTAGCATTCACCACCACTCACCAAACTACTCACCATTATAACTCACCATTGGCATTCAAATCAATATTATTATATTCTTGCATATGGAAGCAATGTTCTTCACGAGCCAGATGCCAGTGTTGAGATCTGCTGCTGGCCACCACGAGAGGGCTACGGCAGAGTGAGTTTGCGTCATTTTGCTCTTTTTTTCATGTTGAAGTGCAGACTATAGTGGTTTAATACATGGACCATAGTTTGGGTTGCATGTTCCCAATCGTGCAATCATGCCACATCAGTACTCCCCACACTTAATCAGCACTCACCACTTGAAACATTGTACTCAAACCGCACCTATTCAAAGCAAAAACATTCACTGGAAACGGATTCCATGTGAGGCCGTCGGACATCCTTCACGCGTCGTTGACACTCCGTACACACTCTACAGTTTTCACACGGGAAGCACCTCGTCTCGTCCAGGTACTTGCTCGGGGTTACAAAGTCCATCACAGGGATCAGCTCGGCTGGGACCTTCTCCATGCGCTTCAGCTTCTTTTTGAGTCGCTCCTTGACCAGCTGCTCTCGTCTCGGGTCAGCTTTCTTCTTCTTCTTTGGTTCTGCCCTGCACAGACGCAAACATGGACGCACAGACATACACGTGGACAGCAACAACAACCGCCATTCACACTGAGTGGGGGTGACCTCACGGTGCTTGTGCCAGGCTATGTGCATTTTAAGGCCTGGTGACGTGTCGAACACCCGCTGGCAGGAGGTCACGGGACAGACTCGGATGCCATGGGTTGACTGGCAGATGCACCACCTGTGCCCCCTGCTGCGCCAACTTGCTGTGTTTTAGGTTCCCGGCCCATGAAGGGTGGAGTGGCCAGCACCATGACCGCGACTTTACACATCGCACCAGGTACACATTTTATGGCTGAATATACTGAATTTAAGTAAATTCTCAAACAGCAATATTTTACCATCGAGCAGTGAATTTATTACAGATGATGTCAAGTGACCATGGGATGTGAAATTTCCACCACTCACGTCCAACATTGATGATAAACACCGCCCAATTGTTCGTTTGAGCAGGCAGACGCTTTGCCTCGCCCTTACCGTGAAGTTTCATAGCAGCGATCATCTCCCTGTATCCAGCAAATAACTGCAACAACGCCCCTTCATTCCCCTGGCATGACAGCCTCCCTGTGCATTGTCATTCATTCTCAGAGGTTATTTGACCACATGCCTCGCAACACCATCAGTGAGAGTTTCTAGTCAGTGTATATAACCTACCATACACAGAGCTACCCAATGTCTTTAAACATCTGCACAATCTGTATTTACAACCCAAACGCAGTGCTGCCATCTCCTGGCCATCCCGCACCGCCGTATCTACAACAGGCGGTGTTAGGGGAAGTCTCTTTTCCAAACACTAAACCAGGCTGAAACCCTGCTTAACTTCTGAGATTAGGGCGAAAGGTAAAATGTTGTTCAACAATTTTTTTTATCATCACGATGCGGCGAGGGGCCCTTAACTGGCAACAGACTTTGCCCTCACGTGGCAGACGGCACAGCGAGTGCCACGGCATCAGGAACAGCTGGCAAACGAGGTGACTGGGCGGCTCAGAGGTTCTGCGCTCAGCTGATACCAGTGAGGTCGTGGGTTCATATCAAGCCAACTGTCTGTGAATAAAACTAGGTTGTCAAGTTGAGTGAAGTTGACGATCTCAGTCTGGTACCAATGACTGCACAAAAAGCATCCAATTAAATTTGGTTCTGCACTTAAATTGACAAAATTCCAAAACTCTGAGAAGTAAAAATATCAGTTCGACCATCATGCAATGAACGTAACTCTGCAGCAGGGTGGGTGGGCGAGTGGTGCCGCTTTGTGGTGTGGATCACAGATGTCACTTGAAGGGACCTCAAGAGGTAGCTCTATGAAATCCGCTTGTGTGGGCTGGTTCTCAAACACAAAGGGCTGTGTTCTGTGCTCCGAGTGATCGGAATGGATTCGTTGCCCCATGACATCACAACATGAACAGTCTGGAAGAAAACTGGGTAGGGGGCAAATGTGTACGTAGCCGGCAATGCGTTCAGCACTGTGAAGAGTCAAAGTCGCCCCACCTTGAGCTTTCGAGTTAGTTCCTCCTCTGGGTGTGTGTATATGCATGTGGTGATTGTGGTCATGATGTTAGTTTGCTCTAGACGAGCTGTTCAGTGACTCACCGCATCGGCAGGGCCGCGCTGACCAACGCCAGGAGGCCGGGCCGCTGCTCTGCTGTGTGCAGCGTGGCACAGCCAGGCCTGGCGGGACAGAGTTCACACGCACGCACACGGGTAATGCTGTCAAACAGCCATTACAGTATTTGCCCCCGCCATAGGAATGTGGAATTATATCGTATTAGCTCAGGGCTGCCAATTAACGTGAGCACCGCCCCATGCTCCAACAATTCTCCCGCTCTATTTTCTGTGGCCCAATAACTGCATTATTATGAACCTGTCAGGTGACTTCACTGCATCACCGATAATCATGTACTGATGTGTGGATGAGAATAATCAACGCCCAGACTCGGTGCCTTGAATAACAACACGACTCGCATCTCTATCGCCAACAGCGGCCACGTTAAGACAACACGCGCATTGGCAGCAGAACTGTGTAACGCCCAGCTCCGTGTGATCATAAATAACTTTAATAGTAGCTGTAACAAGGGTGCTGCACAGGACAGGCCTGATCCTGGCCCAGTTCTGAGCCCAGCGATGACCCGAACCCGGCTGTTCTAAATCCAGGGCTGTCGGAACCCCCGGGTCTGATCCTAGATACGGTACGTTCTGAACCCCGCTGTGCCCCTGGCCAGAGGGCCGTGCGGGCCGTGCGGGCCGCCTGCTGCTGTCCCGCCCGTC